GCTGTAGTATCCTGTAGACACAGTCCGCAGGGCTGTAGTATCCTGTAGACAGTAGGCGAATGTTTTTGATCATGGCACATTAGGCCTGTGCCTGCCAGGATGAAGGAGGGTCACTGCTACAGCCCTCAGTCTGCTGTGTCCTGTCAGCGGCCATCCTCACTCCAGACAAGCCATGAAGCAGAACCGCCGCTGTGTGGAGTCACGAGAGCAGATTGGAGTTGAGCACGGCGGACCTCCCGCCGCCGCCTGCCAGCCGCCCCCAGGGGCAAAGACGAGCGCGCCGGGCCCGGCTCGACCCGGCGGCGCCTGTCTGTCTGTCTCCTGACCCCTCTGTGTTGTTCCCGCAGGTAAACGGCTCAGTTGCGGAGGCAGCAGTCGGAAAAGGTAATGCCAAGGGAGTGGCCACAGGAGTAGGGGCGTACACAGGCAGGGGAGTGTGGGCGAGCCTGAAGCCTTCCTTAGAGCTCACTGTTACACCAAGGCCCAGATAGGGAGGGACTGTCCTCCCCCTAGACAGAGTGGGGAACCAGAGAAAACCCTAAAAGAAGGCAGACACCCTTCCTGAGCTGGGGGTAGCCGAGGCTGAGGCCTCACGCCACCCCTTCTCCTGGCATTTTTGCACAAACGCGTCAAATTCAAAACCCTGACGGGGGCCCGAGGCCTGAGGCTCAGCAGGGAAGCCAGGGGCACACCCGCAGGTCGAGAGCAAGTGAGAGGGGACACACGTTGAGGCACAGAGGTGTGGGAATGTACAACAACCTCCCTGCCATGTCTGTGAGTGTCCGACTCTGTGGGGGCTGACACTGAAGGGAACTGTGGGATTGAACTCCATGAAAGTCTGTCATGCGACTCTGCCGTCACGAACCCGTATTCATCGGCAAGAACAACAAGAGCAGGCAGTAATGAGGGCCGAAACGGCCCGTTTCCCCCACTATAATCGGGGGATCCCCGCTTAAAATGTATTTCCTCGACCGTAAACTTTCTTTAAATCTTCCTGAAGATCTTAGGATCTTAATTTCCCTGCCTTGTAGCCCTGTTACAGTCCGGAA